CATGAACATTTTTGAAGTATAGTCGCACACCCATTAAGTGATTTCACGTGGAATGACCCCTATGCATTTAAAATATTTTAAAAATTTAAATTTCAAATGATGATATAATATTAATTTAATACAAGTAGAGTTGAAGAGACTTTTTTTTAGTACTGAGCAGTCAAATAATAACGATCTTGCATCATAATTGAATTTTTTTGTAAAGATAACTTTTATTTTAGATGGTAAAAGTAAAAGTTTAACTAAAATGTATTTTGATTAAAGTTTTATGAATACAAATTTTTTTCAAACAGTAAAATAACTGTTTCTATCCCTGGTAAACAAACAATCTAGTCCAATCTGGAAAATTCTAAATTCTGCGTGCACATACCCACTCACACATCATAACAATATTATAGTAATATTAAAACTCGTTACGACAAAATTTCTTCATTCGTTACTGAACTTTTACTCAAAATATTGATAAAACAATTTTTTTTTTTTTTTTAGTTGAACATCTTCTCTGTACACAACCACTTGGGAGAGTAAAACATCCTTTCTTAAATCATTAAACACCTCGTACTAAAATACCGAAATTTAGGGCTTTTGACTTTTGTAATCTAATATTGATACTAAAAATGTACATTGAACGTCCAGTTGTGCTCCTGTCGATCCGACAAACGGAAGAAGAAATTTTATTTTATTTTCATAATATTTTTATACAATAATATGATCTCTAAATTGTTCACATTTGTTTTTTCTTTTTACCCATTTCCCAAATAAAAAATGTACTAAAATTGTTGACTGGTCAACAAACAGTTTTGGATAACTCTTTTTAATATTATTGAAGTTTCAAGTTTACAGCAGGTGGAAAGTTAGAGTGTAGTATTACACTTATCTGCGCGCTCTTCCCCTCCCATCGTAATTTTTAAACTCGTATAACTTTAAAAATATTTGTTCAAAACTGGTTATCAACTAGTCAAAGTATTTAGTACATAGTTCTCAATTAAAAAAGTCAATGAAATTTATGCGTTACCATTTATGTTTCAAAATTTGCTACCAAAAGAACTAAGTAGGGAGGGGGGGGGGGTAAAAACCAAAACAAAACTTGGAAAAATTTAGATCAAATTGTATAAAAACTTAGTAAAAAAAAAAAATTTAATTAGAGGTTACTTACCTCTGAAATCTTTGATGACGATTGATGTCTGGTTGTATCAATACACAATTTCTTTTTCAAATAAAAATGACATAATACTGTACAGCTCTAATACTGTTTAGAGGTGGCAGCATATAATCTACTAGTTCATAAGCAACGTTTGCTTCCGTCAAAACAATCGTTATCGGTTCTTCTATTTATTAAGAACAGCGACCATTTCTTGGTAATATTAAATATAGGATTAACGTAAAAATGTGTGCTCCGTGTCAGATCATAATGTTTTTGATGGCCAACAAACATCAATATGTACATTTTAAATTATAATTAATAAGGAATAACCATTTTTATTGGACCTATAAATTCATTAAGTGGGTATTTTTCCATATAGGCCAATGGAAAAACACATCTAACCTACATAGTACACAATTGGCGAAATTCAATTGTCATAAATCGTCGTTTTATTTTATTTTCAACACATAACAATATAATATATTGTAGACATAACGACAACTATTAAAATATAGTTTAAATATCACTGTATCGATTGGTTTTCAATACTTGATATTTTTCACCGTTTTATGTTCATGTTTTCAAACATATCATTTATCAAAGTTAAAAATTAAAATATGTAATAACTATAAATGTTTACTTTAGGACAATTTAATAGAATAATATCGCATCTTAAATCTTAATGTACCTACAATACAGTTATTCGCTACTAAATATGGGAATATCAGTGTTCTACTGCCATGCAACAACACATTAAGTGCAAATATTTGAATAGGTACCACACATAAGCTACACAAACAACAAAACGAAATACATTACACAGTAGCCGCCATAATGGCAAACTTGTTTTTCGATAAAAAAAACTATTTTACAACTGATCAATAATTTTGAAAAACAACTTTATGTAATTAAAATACAATGTTTTCTTTATAAGCAGTTGACTCAATTATAAGTGATACCCTTGTTTTAATGTCTAAAAGCGAGGAAGCTCTGTTGATTCGTTGACTCCCATAACGAAATTCATCATCCACTTATTTTATATCTATGCAACTACTAAAGAGCCTATTCTCTTGATAAATTAAATGACAGGTTTAGATTCGTACAGTCGTATTACTATAAATATAACTTCTCGCTTATATCTGCAAGCATTAATCTCAAAGACGCAAGTCAAAACGATTAAATTGATCGAAAAGTGTATTTTACATGCTAGGTTAAAACAAACTAAAATGCCTATTTATGATCCAGAACTAGCATATCCAAAGTTTGCAAGAAAAATTGCTTCAAAACTTGATAATTGCATGTAAAGAGTAACAGATGAGTATAAAGATACAATGAACTCTAGTAAATTTACCTTAGCGTCCTTATAAAATATGTTGTGTCTGTTAATAGCGTTGTTAATAGTGACACCCTAGTTTATGTGTTGGACCTTTTTTTTTTTTTTGTATTAAACCCCACTTGAGTAAAAGATGCCAATTTGTCTATTCTGGAAACGTCGGTCTTCGGAATATATAATTACTTTACAAAACCGACAAAAATTTACAAAATCTATAGTTTTAAGAGTACTGGACTTAGTTGTAATTGTTTTGAATTCAATAAAAATACTTCCAAACGAGTTTCGTTCACTTAGACTTCATTTAAACAGTAATATGTTGTAATATTAACGGACTCTAGTCAATATTTTAAAACTTGTTGGGTAAAATCATAACAAAATTTGTTTCCAAAAACAAAATCTTTTCAACAAATATTGTAAATTCGAACAATCTATTTTCAATAAAGATATTTAAGTGTGTACAACATATGGTATTTAAAAAAATAAACATTTTTACTACGAGCCGTTAAAATATTATGTTACAACATTGTTGGCCAAAAACTATTATGTTAGTTGACTTATTCAAACGCCTTCAATTTTTACATTAGGATATATTATTGTATTAAGTTATCCCAATTTAAACATTTATTTGTATAGAAACTATCATTTTTTAAACAGCGACAAATTAAAGAATGAAAACGAGTTAAATTATTAAATTAAGAGATCGGAAAACATGCACACAATAATAAGACACGTGTTAACTGGAATACAAGACATTCGTAGATGAAAAAACATCTGTTTTTGTATTATTATTGGATTCTATAAAAAATATGGTTCGCTGTAATATTTGTAACAACATGGTACTATAAAGCAGCAAATTCAAACGTTCAAAAACATTAATAATAATGTTTACATGTTCGAACGATACGAAAAGTATCTTCAGTTTTATACACAACACAGATAACTTAAATAGATTTAAAAATGTTTTAAATAAGAAAAATCAATCCCGAACTTGGATAATTGCATGTAATTTTATTAAAAGTAACAGTTGAGTAAAAAGGCACAATGAGCTCTAGTAAATGTACCACAGCGTCCTAATACAATTATGTTATTCCATTTTTCGCAATTTTTTGTTTCGATGTGATAGATTTAGAATACATATTTTTAAAAAGTTTGACCATTTATGAATTAATAACTGAAGGTGTTGTTACTACAAAGATCTTTATTTTTGTCCAAAGTCATAGTTACTTTTTTGTTTTAGACCGATTTACTCAACAAGCACCTCATAGACCGAAAATCGTAAGTGATTGGTATTTTGTGAGAAACGGTCGGATCCAGTAGACATTTGTGTAAAATATTGGTTAGGCATACATAATTATATTTTCTTGCTTATATCTGCAAGCTTTAATCACAAAGTCACAAGTCAATAGGATTGAATTGATCAAAAAGTGTATTTGACCTTCTAGATGAAAATTAACTAGTACGCCTATTTATGATTCAGAACTACCGTATCCAATGTTTGCATTTAAAATTGATTCAAAACCTGGTAATAGCGTGTGAAGAGCAACAGATGAGTATAGAGCTACAACAAGCTCTAGTAAATTTACTAGATTAGTAATACTGTTTAGAGGTTGAAAGGATTCTATACACACATTGCATCACAATTCAAATGTTGTCAAACCCCTGCCTCACGGGCTTTAAAGCTGGAAATTAGGCCTGAAGATAGGTCAAACATAAACTAATAACATGTGTAAAAAAAATATATTTAAAATTTGTTTTGTAATTTTTACATTAGGATGGAATATTATTGTATTTATTTATCTTAATAAAAACATTTATAATTTATACTAAATATTAAATTTAATTTGATTGAACAGAAAGTAGTATTTCTTCTAAGTATTATTTTTTTTTTAATTAAATAATGAAGGCCAATTAAATAAATCAATTAAGAGTTCAGAAAATATGAACACAATAATAAAATATGTGTGAACTAGATTACAGGACATTCGGGAAAAAAGGTTAGGTCCAATAGAAATTTTTAATGCATATTGGTTAGGCATACTTTTATTCACACATTGCCTTAAACTCAAATTTTGACAACCCTCAATCAATAAAAAAATATTGATATACCACTTTATAAAATGAATCGTTAGGCATTTGTGTAAACGGAAGATTTTCCTTAAGTTGCAATAGTCTAAATATCTGTTTGAAACCTGCAAATATGTGTCGTTCTTATCCATTAAATGTGTAAATTTGCTTTGAATATATACATAATAATATTTACTGTATTTTATATACTTATATATCGTAAACGATTGTTTGAACAGCTATGACCTATGCGTCATGTATAAAAATTAAAAACTAAGCGTTAAGCAAAAATGAAAAAAAAAACAAAATTTGTTTTTATGATTTACGTCTAGGGCATGATAAAAAGACAGTACAGTGGGGTGGGGGATTAGTGGGAAAGGAGATCTCACAAGTAGTACTTCAAGTACTGAAACTAAAAATTATAAAATAATTTTAAAACAAACGTTTCGATGCGAATCTGTAGACAGTCCACTGACAGTAGTGTAATCAGCGAGGGAGTAAGGAAAGATGTTCAAACTTGCTGTATATAATCAAAATAAAATTTGGTTCCAATAACAAAATGTGTTCAAACAATCGTAGCAAATTCGAATGACGCATTTTCAATAAAACATATTTACGTTTGCACAATATGTGGTATTAAACAAAACATTTGTTCTGCCGCAAACCGTTCAAACATTTCATAATTTGCATAGTTTACCATATTTCGATTTTACATTATAACGTTTAAAATTTAATATAAGTACAATGAAATGACAGAAAGACATCCACAACCGATAAGTTGGAACTTAGTTTAACAACCTATTCAAATTGGTTTGGTTTCGCAAGAGTAAAATAATTTTCAGTAAGTTGGTATTTATTTTTATTTTTCAAGTAATTATTATTACAATAATTTATAAACTAATATTTTATAAAAAATTTTAATAAAAACCAAAGGCTATAAGACATTATACTAATAATTATCAATGGGCCGAACATTTTTCGGGGATAAATTCACATTAAAATATTTATATTTTAATAAAAAATGTTTTTGAAAAGTTGTCTTTCTTTTTTAAAAGTGTTAATACTATTTTTTGAGTTATTCGCTTAAACTAATAAAATCTTTTTTTCTTAATGAAATAATAACCGAGTTCAAAAAAAGGAAATTAATTTTTTTAAAAAAAATTTTGATAATTGTTTTTATTATTATTAGAAAATAATGTAAAAAAAGTCAATAATTATTACTATCAAACCTCAGTATGACATTCACTATAAAAAATGTTTTAATTATTATTACCATAATTTAAAAATTACTGTTTTGATAAAATTATATAATAATAACCAAAGTCCTTATAATAGAGTACTAACAATTATCAATGGACCAAATATTTTTCTGGCAAAATTCAAACTTAAAAAAGAAATGTCTTAATAAATAAATGTTTTATAAGTTACTCGCTTAAACTAATAAAATCTTTTTTTTCTAAAATAAAACAATAACTGGGTCCAAAAAATTTGGTTTAAACAATTTATTTTTAAGTTTGAACAACTTTTTTTTATAGGGTAATATTAAAACGTCACTAGTAAATTGCCCATGTTGTTCTCATTATTTAAGTTAATCTCAATTCCTCGTTAATTTCTTAAACGACATTTTTTCTTTGGTTAATGGTTAAAATTTGAATGTAATAGTTATAAATGTTTACGAAAGGACAATTTTATAGAATATTATTGTATATTCAATATACAAAATAGATATTCGCTATAATTATTGGAACGTCGGAGCTCTACGGTTGTGCAAAACATTAGTTCAAACATTTGAATAGTGGCCCAAACAAACGACATAACCAAACACCTTACAGAGCAGCTGTCATATTGGAACACTTGTTTTAGATAAAAAACTATAAAACTATACAAACATATTGGGAAAACACTTTTATAAAACGTAATTAAGTGTATCGAGAGCATTTGTGTAAGCAGATGATCTTACTTACACATTTGTCGAATGATCCAAGTATCTGTTTGAAATATGAAAACATGAATTGCTGGAATACATACTATGTGTACGTTCTCTATGAATGTATACAAAATAATTTTTCTTAAATTTTTGCATTATTCATTTTATAATATACGATGTGTATTAATTTGTGCGTAACATTTTGTAGAACATATTATCGTAAACGATTATTTAAGGAGCTATGGCTTATGCATCATAAAAAAATTTGAAAATCGACAAAAAAATACTGAATATTATACTTTAAAATGTATAAACATTTTAATATAATATTACATAAAACCAAATATTTATTAATTAATTAATGTTAAGTTATGAGGCTACTGTGTTTTGTAAATGTTGTGTTATAGACTTATTTACATAGAAATTAATTTAGAATTCATAATCATTAAAAGTTTAGTGTTTTTATTAGTCATTAAGGATCATAGTTGTCAAATAAATAAATAATCCATTGGCAACTGTAACTGTAAGATAAATTTATTGTATTTTCTTCAGAAAAAAATGAAACATTTTTGTGTTTTGATGACATTAGTCTTTGGATATGTTTTGGCATTACACGAAGGTACGTATCATGAATTTCTAAAATACTAGAGGTTTAAATAAGTGATAGCAATCCAAAAATACAGATTTTTAAATAAATCCTTTTTAAGCCATTTACTCTTATAGTATGCTGTGTATCTAAGTAAAGTAATAAAAAAACCCGCTTAATTTTGACTATATGGGGCTTTCGGATTTTAAATTACGGATTTTATGATTTTAACAAATCCAAATGCAGAAAGAAAATTTTCTTATTGATGTTGTGTTTTATTTTTACATTTTCATCGCAAATATTTAATATGGGTACGCAGATTTATATTTTATTAATATTTAATAATTGTTTAAAACTCATGCCAGCTTTAAGTAACTAGCACTAGTAGTGAAAATCCCAATTTCCGGATTCAATCAATAGTTAAAATTACCTTTTTTTAATTTTATTTTAACTTCTGTTTAGATAACTTTAGACATTTCGTATACCATACAAGTCAGTATAACCAATAATTATTTATCTGTAAAATATATGTACAATATGTCAATTAAGTTTTACCTATATTTTTACATCTTTTGTTTGCTTTTTAATCATAGACCATATGCTCAATCGTTTAAATGAAGGTAAAATATTTAATACATTTATAAACAATGTATTTTTACGTTTTCTCTGACAATTGAATGTTGATTCAACAAAAAAGATTGAAATGAAAATTCTACTGTTTAAAATGTTTCAAAGGGTTGATTTTTTTGCTCATTTCACCTTTGCTTGTATTTTTTGTTACTTAAAAAGTAATTTAAGGTACATTTTTACAATCGCGTCAATACAATCATTGGAACATTATTTAATAATAAGTTCTAGCACTTTTATTAAATACCTTACTAAATAAATATACACAATTAAAAAACATATTTTTTCTAGAACATTTACGCCATTTAATCACATTTTACATATTGGATGATATGCATATTGGTAAGCATAATAATTGTATAATAACAGCTATATTTAAAGTTATTGAAGTTTCAAGTTTAGGGCAGGAGGAAAAGTGGAGTGTAGTATTATTTTTATCTGCGCCCGTTTTCCAACCACACTTACCCTCCCACCATATCTTTTAAACACTTGTAACTTTAATCGACCAGTCAAAAATGTTTGTTCCATTAAAAATTTAATGGAATTTATGCGTTACCATTTATGTTAAAAAAGTTACTATCACAAAAACTAAGTTGGGAGGATGGTAAAAACAAAAAAAAATATAGTAAAAAATTGAGATCACATTGTAAAAAAACACTGAGTAAAGAAAAAATTATAATTCTTTGTAAACTAAGTGTCATATTGAGTGGTTAACGATAAGTTGATCACCTTTTATATAATTTTATTTTGTAAGATTACCCATGGCAGCCAACGTGTCAATTTTTCTATTATATTGATTTTTGTAAAAATTATTTTTCAAACATAAACCCGGAAATTCTTAGTTGTAAATTTAGCAGACACATCGTTTAATAGTGTTGCTCACTTTTCAAGACATTAAAAGATGCTATTCATATTTACTCAATGACTTATTATGAACAGCCAATCTCGTTTAACGATAAATTTTTATTCATTTCAGAGGCGGTGATTTCGCTTTTGGCCGCGCCAAGTATTAAGACTCAGATAATATAAATTATATTTATTTTTTTAATTTATTTGTAACGAATAAGACCTATTTTTACTTTTAATAATTATATACGTTAATATTTCAGCGTTGGTTTTCAAGGATGGATGTGGGAATTATCCAGATGGTAAATATTTAATGTATAGTCATAAACATAATATTACAGGGTGAATTAAAATTTGTGCTTTTACATTTATATCTGTGTGCGAAATAATTATGAAGTACAGTTGTTTATGTCAAATTATTATTAAATTAAGTTAAAGGTATTAAATATCTATGTAATCATAACAGCAGGAATCAATATTCTTCAATGTTACTGAGCATAAAACACTTTTAAAATTGATTATTTTTTAAATTTCAGATCTGGGAATTAAAGAGCAACATATACTGGACCGTTTAGATTATCATGGTAAAAATGTGATTCGAATAAATTATAAAACCAACAAACGTTAGATTGGTAAAAAACCAGCTAGGTCTCCTGCAATTATTTAGAATTATATACTCTAAGGACAGTCTGTCGCCCATGCCCCTCCCCACATTTTAAACACCTTTTTATAATTGTTAAATTTTAATAAAATGTTATTTATTTCAGCAAATGAAGCACCTGGTGAAGATGATAGAAGTAATATTTACAAATTAACTCAAAATAAACTTTTTTCTATTTTCGTCTACAGCAATGGTTCTGTGTACGATTTATCATTTATAGAGTGAATATATACACACAAAGTGTCGGTCCACGGTTATCTTATAGATCCAAATGCACAATTTGATTAACTATATTGGAAACTAAAATATCTTCTCATCGATACTCAAACTGTCAAAAAATTAAATTAAACATTTCCGAACGTCTCGTCATTATTTACACGTTATTATGTTTTATAATTGCAGTCACGGATTACAAAACATTGGGTGGAATGGGGATAGACAGAAGAAATAGAATTAAGGGATCTGTATTATTTTTACTCCGGTCAATCGAAGGTATGTTTAACCCAGATGGTGACGATAAGTAAAATATTATGATTCAAGCAAAAAAGCGAGCTTCAGTGTGATCAGAATGATGAAACTACATTTGTCTGGTACTAATTGTTAATTTGCTTCAGTACTGAAACCTTGTAAAAAAAATAATAAACACGTCAAATGTCATATTATTGTATGATCTGTATAGGTTAAAAAGATGAAGACTGTGCAGTTTTTCACACTTTGTAATAAAAATATATATTTTTATTCAAATTGGTCACAATGTCGCCCGCCTCCTTGCTTAATTAGTCGTCGTGAACATGACAATATATTACGATGTTACAGCTCTATATAATTTAAAAAATTATGTTTTTAAAGATCTATCCAATCATTTTGATGTTGAGCAGAAATGTCGTTTAGTAGCGTTGTTCGTAAATGTAGAAGATCCAAGCATACTCATATTTCATAGCTATTCCAAACAATTCAAAGGACACGATTACTGTCGTCTTAAACATTATATATCTGACGACAAGAATCAGGTACGGCACACTGAGTACAGAATGTGGGAGGATGGCTACTATGAAGTAATTGACCATCGTACAAAAGGGCGCAAACTCACCCCTAAACCCGGACATAAGATTGGCTGCGTAATTTCTTAAAGAGACCTTGCAGATATACACATTTCTTAAAATTTCTTTAATATGCTATATACAATTCACATAATAAATTATCTTGGAACCATTTAAAATAAGTGTTATTTTTGTTGTGTTCGAATATCAGAGTACAGTTGAAGAGACTCTGCATTATGATAATACATGACGTATAGTATATAGTACATGATAACTTCACAACTTAAACAAAAAAAAGGAATTATTTTTATTTGAAGTGGTCATATACTGTCACTCGCCTTCTTGATTACTCCGTTGCTGAGTACAAGGACTTACTACGTTAGTTTATAAGATATGGTAGTAATAGTTATTTAAACAGTATAAAAAAAAACGTATAGTGAATATGTTACTCAAGTTTGTTAGTAAAACTTAGCGAAAAAGAGTATAAGCATTTTTTTTTACATCGTTTAGCTTTGTAGAAACCTGAGTTATTCAATGACTCCTTTTACCTATTTATCATCTGTTTTATATCCACCTCAACTACTAAAGATCATAGGCCAATAACCTAGTTTTTGAAGCCTGATAAATTCAATATCTTATACCTGCAAGCTTTAATAGCGTGCCTATTACTGATTCAGAGCTAGCATATCCAAAATTGGCACAAAAAACGAGTTTAGAAATTGGATAATTGCAAGTCACATTATTACAGATGTATTTTTTTTTGTCTCAAGTCATGGTAACTTTTTTTCCATTAGACCGATTCGCTACTCAAGTAGCATCTCATAGATCGAAAATCATAAGTGATTGATACATCGCGAAAAACGGTCAGATCCAGAATATTGGTTAGGCATGCTTCTATACTCACATCGCCTCGAATTCAAATTTCGGCCAACGATGGTACTATCAAGCAGGCAAATTTAAACGTTCAAAAACATTAATAATAAAACAAGATATTATGACCAAAAAACGACTTATTTAAAATAAAAAAAATGTTTGACTGTTAAAATTGTATTTGTAAAACACCTTGAAAAATATTCGATGACAACAGTTGTTTGTCTTATGATTACACATGATCAAACGACACGAAATGTACCTTCGGTTTTTGTACAGATAATTTAACAACAATTAAAAATTATTCGAAAAAAGAAAAACCAGAAGAAATTGAAAACTATTTCTGGGAGTTATTATCAACAATAGTAATGATAATATCAATAAATTTATACATGAACATGTTTTATCTATAAAAAATAAATTTGGTATTATTTAGTTGTAACAGCTTGTTAGAAAATCCCCGTTAATTTCTTAAACGACTTTTGTAAATAAAAATACTCTCTGGTTAATGGTTAAAAATTAAATTTATCTATTACACATGTTTCCAAATTTTATTTAAAAAATTGAAATTGTATAAAATGTTCAAACGTGTTTTATGCGTACATTTTAGCTTCGATGCAAAGCGAGAAGGTATTGGTTTTACTCTGATGTGGGCTTTTTTTTTCGCTGTATACACTGTAACTTTTTTAATACTAGACCAATTCCTTCGAATAGCAACTCTATAAATCACAAATTTTGTCTAGTTTGTACTTTGGGGGGGTAAAAGTTGAAAAAGTTTAAGTCTTCACAGACGAAAGTTGAAAAAACAAAAAAAAAACCGTACGAGTTTTTAAGTTAGAACTTTTACTGGCTATAGTATCGAGAAAAAGAGTCGGATCGAGTTGAAATGTATAAGAAATATTTATTTGGTATGCCCGCGCACGTCAGTTTTGTCAAATTCAAAATATACCCATTTCCCGCCCCCTAGGGGGGGTAAAAGTTTTTTTGTTTTTCGGGGTTTTTAGCCGTAATTTTAAAACTTTTGGGTTGAAAATTTGCCAGTAGTTGGAACTCATATGTATCCGTAACATATTAAACGGGAAAAAAATTCGGCACTACAGTTTTTTTTTAATTGCCGGGAAACTGTGTTTTCGCAGATTGCGTATATTTTAACAAAAACACCTAAAATCTTTAAAAAAAATTGATCAAATCATTAAAACAATTTTATTTATATCTATGCAGAATGATACTATTAGGTTTTGTGCTCAAGTACCACTTTTGACTTAAAGTTTACACAAAGTTCATTTTTTTTTTTTTTTTAACTAAAAACCCAGTGTACCAGATGTGAGAAACGAACAGACACTAAAAACTATCAGTTGGTAACGTCTATCCGTGTTAGATTAGGTTAGGGCCCAATGAACGGTATCATAATATTGTGTTTATTACATGATATCACAGGCGACTAAATCGTGTGACTGATTATAGTAGACACTCGATTTATTGGGAAAAAAACCTGTCCGTGTACTTATTAAGACACTTAATGATTCTGATACGACAAAACCACTGTCGTTATCTCGTTATTTTATAGCCTGCGTTATATAACCTTACCGAAGGTTAACTATGAGTATTTAATGTCCAACTACCTGCAAATAATGAAGAGGACTGTTGTTTTTTGGATTCAGATTAAGTGTTGGTTTTTATGCAGTATACCGCCTCAAAATGTTTTTTTTATTACACAATTTTTTTAAAGGAAAACTAATGTTTTGTATATTGTTATACTGTTATTCATTTAAAGAGATTCACGCTTGATTGTTTAAATTGTCTAATATTAGATAATCTGCTTCGTGCTAATTTTATTTTTTTAGTTTATCAACTTGTAGCTCTAATTTTGTGAAAAATATTTCATTATTTTATTACTATGTACTATTACTATTAAGATAAATTTTAATAATAATTAAGTCATAAATGATAATACTTTATTTTATGACTAGATCAAATCTCGTGAACATTTAACATCATGATACTGCTCCTATGCTATTATTAAAAAAACACAATTTTTAAAATCTCCATAAAAGGTTATTGTTAAATAACAGGCAACAGCCGACTGCTAGTGGCTATACACGTTAGTAATATTTAACTAATAAGTAATAAATGTAGGTAAAATTTATTGTTTTCTCCATCACAGTACCAGTATACGATTTATTTTAATTTAAATGTAAGAAAATCGATTTTTCTTTAGAAAATAACAAGAAATTAATATACAGGATGAGGCAGTAAAACGGCGATTTTCTAATGTATTTAAATGGTAAAACCCGTTTCACTATCCCACCCTTTACATTTTAAGGATCTATGAAAAGGTTTTTTTAGTTGCATTTTATTTTGTACATTGTCAATCTAGTAAAATAGAAGTATAATATAGCTTTGAAATAATATAATCTGTGAAGTATAAATAGTTTGTGTGAGATTGCTTTAATGGAAGTATATAATACATAAATATTAATTTTATTGAGAATAAGCGATTATAATTTAAACTATGGAGTACAAACGATTGAAACATGAATCGTCGACCGTTCCAACAAAATATAACAAGACATTGTATATGTGTTATTTGGTCCACTAAGTTTTTGCAAAAAAAAAAAAACCAGTACAGTGGGGTCGGGGCATAGTGGGGACGGAGCATAGTTGGGTCGGGGCATATTGGGGACGGGGAGGTCACAGGTTTACAGGAATTTTTAAATCTGAAAGTGATAAAATCACTTTCGAAAAAACGCTTCGATGCAAATCGGTAGTTAGTATTTTCAAGCCAGTACAGTCCAAACCAAGCACAGTATAAACCAGCAAAGTTAGAAAGTTTTAAATGAAGGTTCTGTATTTACAAATGAGCATCAAAGCGTTAATTTGAAAGTGATTTTATCAGAGAGGAGTACTACAATAGAGTATTGGCATAATGTAATCAAAGCAATGAGGAAACGGAGAGGTCACAGGTCTACAAGAATTATTATAAATCAAAGTGATAAAATTGAATAAAATCGCTTAATTGAATTAAATGCGTGGGCACTTCTAGACAGATCAACTGAATGTTTGAACGTCCTCTAAGGTTACTGAGGTCAACTTGTTTCTATGTGTGTATTAAAATACAGCCATGACTCTGGAGAAACCTACATATAAAATGGCCGGCCGGCTAGTCATTCGAATCAAATACAATTATTAACTGTAAAGTCGTTTCTTACACCGTTCTGTCACCATGAATTCTTCTAAGTACGCGGTTTAGGTATGTTTTTTGGTTTTGGCGTTCGCTGTCATCGGCGTGAACGCTTATTGCAACCCGGAAGATTGTTGGGCTCTATGCCGTAGCCAGTATGGTGGGCCACTCACAGAAATTTGAGGAGTATGCGAATCTTCGAACAACGACTATTGTCGGTGTTATGGTAAATTGAAAGATGTATCAGTCTTAATTCCTAACGCTGGTGAGCTCAAATTCAATTGAAAAATGGTAAGTAATAAAAAACGATAATTATTTATTCCAAAAAGAGCGCATTGATCCTGTTTTTCTATTTTGTTATAATAAATTTGATTACCATATGTAAGTTTAGGATGTTGATG